CGTAGGTTCGTCTGGATTTACACAAAAATTTCACGCAAATCCAACGTGTTACCTTCGGCAGCTCGCATCTGCGCACAGCACTTACACCTCTCTTTGTTGCTTCCAAAATCTCACAGAAGCAAAGGCTGGCTACATCTCCATGCATTCAGTCTACCACTCTTTTTATTCAGCTCATATCCTACAATGGAACAAATTGTTCGCTCTCAGCTTTACTGAAACATCAGCTTAATAAATTCAAAGTCTTTTGCTGAAGACGGATTTTTGTAAGGCAACTTTTCTTGGATTTTGCTTCAGAAACCAATCAGTACTGAGCAAATTCATCTTCCCTGATGATTCGAAAATCATACACCTAGTCAGTAGTTTATTCTCACAAACATAAACAGCTTTTCCTAATAATTAAATTCTCACAAACAGCTCTTCATAATAATTGAATATAATGATTGTTCGTATCACGTTTTAACTTTCCTTCTTTCCTTTCTCTCTCATTTTATTTGCTCCTTCACTTATATCTATTTCCTTTTCTTATCGGTCTTGCACATTAGTTACTTTACTATTCAAAACATGGCGGAGAGGAGGCTGTACAGATACTCCTACCCGTACGCATAGTATACAGCACAGACTGCGCCATAAAATTTCTTCATACACATGACATTCAAGTGAAATTCTTCTGTTCCTCTATTTTTACTCGCATAAGCTCAGTTTTTATTTGCTTTGGCTTTTTTGTGCTTTTATTCATTGGTTCCGATTCCTGGTATTTATAAACTCAAATTTGCTTTAATTTACTTTTCTTTGTATTGTTGTGTCGTCTCTTTTTCTTTACTGCTCTTTCCAGTTCTTCTCTCGAACTAGTACCCTTTTCCCCTTCCAACCCCTGTCTCCAGAGCGGCATCTGGGCACCCATTCTCCAACCACACCCAGCCCCCACTCAAAAGCTGCTCTCCAACTACACTGCCCAACCACCAAACGACGGGTAACGCTACCCAGCGCTAATTGGCAGGGTGCCAGCAACGGCACCACGATGCAGCATTAGCAAAGAAGCTAGTGCATCACACAGTGACAGCCGAGCCAAGCCGAATTTTAGTAATTGCCAACCGTCCAGATT